CATGTTAACTCAGTTGCCATTATTTGTGTATCTAAAGTTTGTCACTAGGAGACAAACCTTGACCTGTGAACAGGAAGAATACAATTCCAGTGTTTATCCAGAAGAAAAAAAAAACAACCAACTTACTGTGTCTGTAAATGAAGTGACCTGGGACTGCGCTCTGTCCTTGGGGTCAAGGCTGATATAACAAGACTGATCTAACTAACAGGAGCCGATCATTGCTCAAAACACATCATGCACAACTCTGCCTCAGGTGTATAGCTGCCCTTACTTCTGTATCATGACAAGTGCTGGTTGCCCACAATAGCTGAAATTTAACATACAATCATTCCTTACATCCTTCCTTCATGACCTTCATGATCTAGATGGGCCTTATTTTCCCATGGTCACTCCGGAGAAACAAAGTTACCCTGCTGGAAGTTAGTGGAAGAAGCTTCCCTTTATCCGCTCCTGCTTTTTCCATGCTCCAAACCTGTATTACACAAGAATTAAGTGGTTGCCATGTCACCCTGTGTCAGATGAACAAAGCCCAGGAGACTCCTCCATGCCACGCATACCCGTAATCCTCTGTATCAGCACTTAACACACAGGACAAGATATTGCTCTGTTGCTATGCGCATGCAGTTTTTGATAGATGCTGATCTACCAGCTGCACTTTTTGTGAAAGAATGTCTTCCTGTTGCAGTGACAGTTTCATGCCAAACTTTCTTCCTGGTTCTGTGCAGTTCAGCAAGATTCTCAGCCTAAGACAGCATGTACCATCTCCTTCATTCTCCCCCATTTTCAGGAACCAAGAGGTTTCACTCACTGGAGTCTAACATCAGGCCTAATCCCACTACCAAGCTTCATTTTCCCTCATTTAGAATCTCCTGAATGAGCAGTGCCTCTCATGGCACATGGCGAATCAGAACAGAGAGTCTAGAATTTAGAATTCGTTTCTCAATATAATCTGACTAATGCAGTCAGTACGATGCTGAGCAGTACTAGAGCAGTGGATCAGGTTGTATACCTCCATGTACCTAATTCGAATTATGTGTAATGGCCACTGTGCCTTTCTCCATACCTTTTGTGACTTGAGGTTAATAGTTAAACAGCTCTTATGCCAAAACTCTTTTACTTTTGTGCAGCTCTCTTATGAGTCCACAAGGACTCAATCCTTGGGTACACACTCTTTGACTCTAACAGGTCCCTTAAATATGACATTTTTAGACATGGCATTCAGCCTGGAGAATTGAACAGGCATGGCATTATACTTCCTTCCTGTGCTGGATATTCCCTGATCTGGGTTAATCCTCAAACCTTTCTGTGGGGGGAGTAGAAAAATGCTTTTAGGGCTGGCTATAACTGCAAATACTGACAGTCATCAGAGGCACTTCACAAGAACTGACTATTTACAAAATGTTTTACTACCACCATTCATAGAAGCAGGAGCATCTGACTATAAGCACTGGAGCAGCACAAGCCAGGGATGGAAATTTCAGGCATGAACAAGAATTGATGTTAAGATAGTAAGAAAGTTTGTGCACATTTCAGGCAAGGCTTGAAAATTCAGCTTAAGTGCATAGTTTTCAAGCAAGGATGACAGCTACTTAATATTTTGATTTGGTTTTTAGGCTGCTTTTTAAATGCTATTTTATATTGACTCCTACGTTTTCTCTTTAGAACAGTATTTACAGGGTAACTTCGTATTGTAAGTATTAGGGGTTTTTTGTTTGGTTGAGTTTTATTTAATTCTTTGGAGCAAAAAACTACAAAATCATTTGAGTTGACCTTTGAACTTTTAGTTTAACTATAAATAATTATTTCATTTCCACAAATTTCTAAGGCTAACTGTAGGAAAATGTTGTAGTTGAGGGACAGAAAATCCCATAGCCTTTTAACTCATGAATAATTTTAATTTCTTGTGTCTTGATAATGACTGGAAGAAAAGCACAGAGCTGGTTTCTAAATGGAATGCAACAGTATCTGTTTTGGCTTTTGTGGCAGTTTGCGTTTGCCAATCTGTTTCCTGGCCAGTGCAGCAATTTATGTAGTGGGTTTAGTGATGGCCAAATGCCAGTGCACCCACTAGAAATTATTTACTCATTTCCTGCTGTGAGATATGTATTAGGAGGAGGAGGGCAAAACAGGCTCAAAACTTTAAAGGGTACAAAGAAAACTTTATTAATAGAATTAAAAGAAAAAATTATAAGAAAATCAGAATAAACCTTCAGAACTCTCTTCCTCCCCGCACACCTTCTTTTCGTTCTCACTGACAAGATAAAGAGACAAAACTTGGAACTTTCAGTCAGTTTACCACCTCTAAAATAATCTTTCTTCAGTCCACTTAGGGAGAGGAGTCTCTCCTGCCATGCCGTGGAGACATCTCCACAAGAAGCAGCTCGCTCATGGCTTTAATGTCACCACGAATCTGGAAAAGAAAGGAATCTGCCCCGGAAAGGAAAATAGGTTTGCAGTGTGAAGGTCCCTCCCATGCCTTGCAGCTTTCCCAAAGCTGCTTTCATGGGCCATGTCAACTTATGGGTACTATTTTAAGGATGAGCTGTTCTAGCACAAAAACAAAAGTTCTCTTATTTTATCTCTGGGAACAGAGGTTTTTCTTCTTCTATCTCTGGGAAAAAACTTCTCATCTCTCTCATCTTTCTCTGTTGAAGCTTCCCACTGGATTACAGCTATTCAGCAGCCACACACTCCAGCACGAGTGCCCTTTGCTCATGGACCGCGGGTGAATGCTGCATCCCCCCATGAATTCCATAAATTACAGGGAAAAAATAAAGTCTGATATATCAAAAAATATATCTCCACCATAGCCTCACAAAAGAATTTCAGCTCAAGACTAAGACTCAATCTCCTCCCACATAGAATTTGACTCCTTTACTGACCTCAGTGTGCGGTATTGTTTTCTCCATGTGTCTTCACCCTTTCCTTTTCCTGATTTGGGAAAAAACTAGCATTTGCAGGTTTGTTTGTTCCCAATCTTTATCAATTGAAACAGCTTTTACAGAGTCCTGCAGTGTTGATCTCGTCCGGGCTCCGCAATTGAGGAATTGCTGTTCTCTCGCTGCTAATAGTGTGGTCCCTGCCAGCACTGTGTGAGTTGTACTGGCTGCCCGCAACATCCCTGCTACTTTTCTTCATGCGGGGCAAGGTGAAAAAGAAACAAAACTGCTGCTGCTGCTTTTGTCCTTCTGCCCACAGCATGGCTGGCTAAAAGCAGCTAAGAAAACAAAGTCCATTGCGAGTCATGCCGAGATAGCCGCAGCCACGCAGTCCCGGCCATGAGGATGCTTCCAGACCGTGCTGGCAGCAGCCACTCCCGGCCCTGGCTGCTCCTGGCCTTGGGGCCATCCCCATCACTGGTAGTGGGGCCACTACCGGCGCTGGTGCAGGAGTAAAACAAAGTTCATTTGTGAACCATGCCAAGACAAGCCCCAGCTGTGCGGCGCTGCCTCGGCTGCAGAGACTCCAGCTGAGCAGTCCCAGCCACATGGTCACTCTTGGCACTGGGACAGTCCCAGTGCATGGTCCGGTGGTGGCTGAAATCCCAGCCAAGCAGCACACCAACCCAGGCCCAACCAGCTACCTCTTCAGAGGCTGGAAGCTGAGAGAGCTTTTTGTGCGCCAGCTCATCCTTAAATGTGTTTTCATAGAGGCGCAGCCAGCTCGTCTAAGTGGTTTAACCAGGTGTCAATCTCCAAAACTAGCCTGCTGATTGGTTAGTCAGGTGTCAATCTTCCAAACTAGGCATCTGATTGGTCTTCAAAACCAGCCAGCTTATTGGCTCCAGCAGATTGCCCTATACAGGGTACCATATGCTCCCAGCTGAAAACCAGACTTCGTTAAACCGCAACAGCTTTCTTTTTTGTTTGTTTGTTCGTTTTTAATTTATTGCTTTAGGTAGGGAGAAGGAAACATTTATCCTTGGATCGTATATTTGTCTAATCTATGAATGGCTACTGAGTGTAAGATCTTGTGAAAAAAATTACATGCTAATTAGTAATGAACTGGAGGAAAGGGAGTTTTACACCTTCTAGGAAAAAAAGGGGAATTTTTGAGAAATGAGATGCAAACAAGTACTCTTAATATAATAAATGTATAATTAACTATGGCAGATAAACAATTTAATTAAAAATAGAAAAAAGCATCTCCTCTAACTAAGGGGAGGGGAAAAAATGAAAAAAAAAAAAAAAGAATTTTTGTCATGAATTATTATCACTTAAAATCCTCTGTGGGATCTGTAGAGAGCAGGTCCAATTTCCATGAAGTGAAGATGCTTACATCCAAGTAGAAAATATGATTGATACTTTTTCATGAAGGAAAGAGTCCTTCTGTTGTAACTTCAGTTAAGCTGTGGAATTTGTTTTGTTTGCTTAAGAATTTTATGAAGATTTTGAACAATGCTGTATGGTTTAGATGATACAGATGGTTTATATATGACATTTGTCTTAATTTGGGATTATGCATAATTTGAAGTAACTGCATTACAGTTCATTATAGGGTTCTTAAAATTCAATGATTTGATGATATTAAAAAGCAAAACCTGGAGAAATAGAGTATGTTTCCATCAGAAAACAAGCCAGAGATATACCATCACAAAGGCCTGAAGAACTAAGTTACCTCTAGGTGACTGTGTGGGATTTTGAAGGCTTCTGATATACAGTATCATCAGGTAAACAGTTCCCAGATCACAAAAAGAGTGTCCCAGCACCATACTCACAAGTACCAGCTTTAGAGGATTTGTTCTAAAGCTTTTCAGAAAAACAGTCCTTCGAAGTTCCAGGGACTTGAAAATCTCATAAATTCCTTTGGATTTATGATCATTTATACTGCTGTGGACATCAGTAGCATAATTTAAAAAAACCCCAAAAAATCACAGTTTGTAAAAGATCCATAATAAACACAGAATAAACATAATAAACAGAATATTTTGCTGAAATAGTGCATCATGCTTGATTTAAAGGAAAATCATGAATATTTTTGACCTCTTTCCCTCTGTGAAGTTTGGTAAGACTCAGACATAATTTTGAAGACAATATTAGCCAGTGCTGCTGCAGACCTTTGACATTATCAAGAGTACCAGCTAACTGGAGACACATGTCAGAAGACGCTATTGGGTAAGTAAAGTGGTAATGGGTTAGGGAACTGTAAACCTAGAGCATGATGGCAAAGAACAGAGCAGGTATTCCAAAATTGCTGTGAGAACCACTACTCAGTGTCTGCCTGTGAAACAGCCTGCCTCTCTTTTCTTTAACAATCTAACTCAGGCATCATTCTGTACTCATGAAAGTTCATAGCCTGTTTAAATGCTTCCATAGGCAACTATCTGGAAAGAGCAAATTGAAGAAGCAGTCTGCAAATATGGAAAAAGTCTGAACTGTGTAGTTGTGATTCAATCTCAGCCTTCAGAAATATTCAGAGTAGTGAGGCTGATGACAGAGACAAGAGTAACCTATCACAAACTGACCTTAAATTGAAGGAAAATGGTTGTTTACAATAAAGAGAAAGAAATATTTTCAGTTATGTTCTTAAGGTGGCATTTGTGGATTCTGTTTATATTTTCAAACATTGTTTTTCAAAATATTAATTGAAATCAAGGCAACTCAGACTTCATTTGATCTACATTTTTCTCCATTCTTGGTTCTGATCTTAAACTTATTTTTATTAACGGATGGCAAGGACACAGAGGTAGTAACATAAATAAGAATGGAGAGCAGCTGTCTTTCTCTTTTATTACTTACTGAATTGTAGGTTGCTTATATACCAGTATGCAAAGCCAAAATAAAACTGGCTTGATCTAACCTTCATTCTTTCTATTTTCTGTGCATAGAATCCATGAAATCTCAGATCTCTTTTTATTAAAGATTAATATCTTTCTAACCTTGAACAAGAAATTGGTAAAACAGAGATTGACTTTAGTGAAGTATAGGTACCAGGCTAAGAATACACCTGCATTGCTTTATAAATACATAAACAGGAAGAGCAAGAAGCATTATTGGTACTTATTGAAGTTGAGCCAACTTTCAATTACTTAAGTGATGAGTTTAAAACTTGGAGTTTTGATCTGCAGATGAAACTCAAAGCCTTCAAAGAATTGCTATCCACTCACAAGATGTTTCCCATGGAAATCTCATGAGAAGAAACAGCACTCTGAAAACTTAGTCATATGACTACAAACTCCCAAATACTTATGGGGGATATATTTCAATTGGAAATCTTACCTCTGCTTTTTGTCTTAAGTATCTTGATTTTTGAAAGAAAATGTGTCACAGTCAAAGTCGTTAACTCTAAGGTTAGAGAACTTCACAATTCCACCCACCCATGCATCATGGTTTCATTGTCAAAATTCTTTTTAGGAAAAAAATTCCATAACTTGTGTGTTAGCAACTGTATACTTCCATTCCAATTGAATTTTTCTCGCCAGCCATCTCGTGTGAAGGTATCAATAAATAGTGATGTAGTTTTGTTCCCAATATACATGTATTTTTGAGATCCTATTAACTCTTTCCACTCTTAGGAACTAGATCAATTCCACACTTCTGGAGGAAAGGGGTTTTTGAAGAAAATCTATATGATCACAGTATGAAAGGCTTTGCCACTCTTGTCACAACAGTAATTTTCATTAGGGGTTTTCATAGGTAATTAAAACATTTTAATTAAAGCTGTTCAAGATGTCCTTCTGAATATTTAGTAGGTAATAGAAAGATGCTTGTTATCCCAGAGTATAACAGCAAGTAATACAAGGATGCTGATGACATTAATTAATTGCTTTATCACCATGATATAAAATATGTATTATTTATCAGTGACAATGTAGTGTCTCCATTAGAAACAATTATAATTATTTATTAACATGTTAATGCTGCAGCTTTTCTCTTGGTAACTTTGCAGTAAAACAGTGAACCCATGTCCCTATTATACTCAAGTGTGTCAGTTAGTATGTACATATTTTCCAGAACTTTCAATGTTCTTTGTGAGAATATTTTTATGGACAATTTCTTGGGGTTTAAATAAACATTTTTCTAATATATATCAGCTATATCAGCACGTGAGAACTACTTTATATTCAGTTCTGTAGGTAGTCTGAATTATTTTTTATTATTTTTAAATATTAATGCAGTACTGCACTAACTGTAACGTGTAATATTGCAATATATATTGAGCTCTAGAGAGATTTGCAAATCAGGTTAATATAAATCTTGCTTTACTTGGAACTGTTTTCCACATTTAATAGGTAAGTGGAGAAATCTGCTATTCTGTAATATTAACAGTAACAAACAAGCAATATAGTTTTTGACTCTGCAAGATCATGGTCATTAGAAGGTTTTATTTATTGTCTTTCTCCATGGTAGAATGATACACTGCAAGTAAGTTGTCAGATCTCACGAAAGTAAATTCAGTGTGTTTAAATGCACACATCTGTATTATCTTTACATTTCACTAAGTTTCTATTACTATTGTCTTTTGGTAAAAGTGTTAGAAAATCTATGAGGCTTTTATTGCAGTTCGCTGCACTGTAAAACAATATTTTTGCATTAAATCGTACCCAAATATACATAAATCATGTTTCCTCTGTTCATCTAGGAGTGGACTTGGCAGTGTTGGGATAACAACTGGACTCAATGATCATAAAGGTATATTTAAATATAAACAGTTCTATGATACAGCAGTTGCTCAGAATTACAGATTAGTCAGCCGTACAGCTGACATCATTAGGCATATTACAGTATAATGTACAGAAAAGCAACCTTATTTTAAATAGCAATTTCTCTACCTGATTTCTTTAATAAATCAACTCTATTTTTGGCACATTTTGTATTTAAGTAAAATAATTGACATAAGAGCAAGCATTGCAATGGACAAAAACCGAGGTTGTATTTGGTACAATAGAGCTATATTTAGTGAAATAAAGAATGTCATTGGGCACTTTCAAGTTAAAATGTATAATTTGCTATATAATGCTATACAGAATTAGTAACAAGACTTTATTTCACTACTAACTGAAGCAGGTAAATAATTTCAATTTCTTAGATCTGCAAATGATAAAATATAACTGCATCTGAGGTGGCATTTATCACAGAATCAAGGAATAACAGAAAAATTTAGGTGGAAAAAGACATGTGTGGTCATTAAGTCGAACATTTGATTGATCAGCTAGACCCTGTGAACTAGACCATGGCACTAGGTGCCACAGTCAGTTGCTTCTTGATCACCTCCAGGAATGGTGACTTTACCACCTCCCTGAGCAGCCCATTCCAATATCTGAAAATCTTGGCAGAGAAAAAATTCTTCCTGATGTCCAACCTGAACCTCTAACCTGGTGCAGCTTGAGGCCATTTCCTCTTATCCTGTTCCTGGTCATCTGGGAGAAAAGAAACAATGCCCACCCTGCTACTCCCTGCTTTCTAGTAGTTTTAGAGAGCAACAACGTCTCTCCTGAGTCTCCTTTTCTCTAGACTAAGTCTAGAGAAAACAGTTCCCTCAGTTGCTCCTCATACAACTATTCTCTAGATCCTTCACCAGCTCTGTTGCCCTTCTCAGGACACCCTTCAGCACCCTAATATCTTTCTTGACATGTAAGGCTTTGAACTAGACATGGCACTCAGAGGTGTGGCCTCACCAGTGCTTAGCACAATGCAGCAGTCACATCCCTGGTCCTGCTGGCCACAATATTTTTGATACAGTATTTCTGACATTTTTGGTTTAAGTCTGCTAGCTAGATTTGTGCAATGTTCCTAAGAAATACTATATGTGAGTTCTAGCCATTAATTAATGTCCAGTAAAAATGGATTTTGTCCAATAGGATTTTGAAAAAAATTGACTTTGTCAATGGATTTTGAAAATATAATCTTACTTCTCTTCATGGGAAGAACAGAATTGAGGAAACTTTGACTTTTATGTAACCGAGAAGTATGGGAACTATAGACCAGACACTGAGATTCCTTGCAGATCTGATTTGTATCATAAAGGAGGTATCCATGGTAAGAAGCATCAGCAGAAGGACCCAGCAGGGCTTGGACTGTCAGCATGAACTGTGTCTATGGCAGATTGTGATGCACAAGTATTTTGGACCTGCAGCCTGGGAGCTGGTCAAAGGATTTGGACAGCAGCAAAACTCAGAAGCAGGAGAACATGAAGGACACATTGTTGAAGCACTTTAGATGAAATGAAATCTTTGTACTTCGAACTTGTTGAACTTCTTTGGGCTCCTGCCAGGACACAGCCCAGTGGTGATGCAAAGAGCAGTACCAAATCATGGCTCCAGGAAAGAGGAGGGAATCGGGTGCTGCTGTAGCGGGTCTGGACTGGGCAGTGCAGGTTGGTAGGACAGCAGAGCCCTTGGGCCTGGGGAAAGAGGGTGCAAGGAGGAGGAGAACAGGCCTAGATAGCAGGTAATAAGTGGTGGGGTGATGAGACCTGCTGGAGTCTGCATGTGGATATGGTTGTAGGAGCCCTGGGCAACATGCAGAGCATCAGAGCCTGTGGCTGCTGGAAGGCAGTGAGGCAGAGGCTGTTACAGCCTGTCCCCACTGCCAGCACAGGGGTTGGCCCCTGACAACCATCCAGCCAGGAAGGCAGACACGCCCATTATCATCATTATCTATGTGGCTCTTTGTTAGTCTCAACAGACTGAAAATGTGTCTGGCATTTTTACCCAATATTAGTGATTTGAGTTCCTTCTCAAAGATCCAGCCTGTACTTCCCTAGATACTCCTTCCCAGGATGCTGATGAGTGCCTTTTTAGCCAGCATATGCAGCTGCATTTACTGAAAATTTTGTCTAGAATCAAATTTAACACTTCCTAGTCACACTATCAGGAAATATGCAAAATGAATAATGATAGCAAACATTAGATAAAAGTTTATTCTGAATAAAAAATGCAGGTGATAGCTGCAGTTAAAGTTCACTTATCTAAGCTTAATTTCCAAAATTGGAAAATTTATCTCCCTGCTTTTTAAAGGTCACTATGCCTTTTTCTCATTAATATTTACTTCATTTTGGAGCACTACTTTGTCAAAAGTAATGCGTTCACAGCTCATTGAGAAAAAAGGAAGAAATGTCCAAAATGAAGTAAATATTAATTTACCTCAAAATATGAATCTTGGGGGAAATTTTAAGACTCTCTTATGTGCTCTAGAGGCATCATTTTCTGGCATCACTTCCCTTCCAAAATGTAGAAAAATGGTATTGCAGAGATTTCATTCAGAGTTATTCTGGGTAACAGTGTTAAAAGGGAAATTCTTCCTCATTCCCTCTGAAAATATCTAAAATTGTTTATTTTCAATAACACCTAACAAAATAAACTACCAGATCAACAAATATTCAAGCCAATTACAATAGGTTGTGAGAGAGTGGACATTTCTTCCTTTTTCATATAATTGATACAAGAAAGCATATTGTTGAAAACTGCCACTACGTATTAATAGCATTGGAATGCAGGTGGTGTTTGCTGGTGAGTAACACCAAGTATATAAATGTTAATAATAATTTGGATTATACTTTTGCTATGTAAAATGATAATATAGAACAGGTAGGATGAAATATTTTGTTCAAACCACTATTATGTAGTATTAAACCTATATCAAATATATGAAGGGATTTCTATATGTTTTATGATCTATTTTCATTTACATGAAACACATAGATAACTGGAGTTTTTGTCTTAGAAGCCTTTTATACTGGCTGGTTTCCAAACCCCCACCCAAATTGTCTCTCACTTCCTCTTCTCAGCAGGACAGAGGTAGGAAAAAAGCTTTCACAAGTCAAAGTAATGACAGAGAGGTCTTTTGCCAGTTGCTGTGACAGGGGTAACAAATTGAACTTGGGAGAAATAATTTAATTTATTATAAACTAAAGCTTGAATCAGGTGAAAAGGATCAAAACCCTAAAACTGTAATAACTGCCACTCACACCCTTCTTCCTCGCAGTCTCATCTTCACTATTTTTCATTCCTAGCTTCTCCATCTTCTCTCCTCCAAGCAGCACAAGGGAATGAGAAATGGACATTGTGGCCTGTTTATAGCACTTCCTCTCTGTTGATCCTTCCTTCTTATACTTTTCCCCTGCTTCAACAGGTGCTTTCCACAGACCTTAGGAAATATCCACCTGGTCTGACATTAAGTGCTCCAGAGGCTGCAGTGTGGGTACACACTCGAGGATCTGAAGCTCTTCCTCACCTGCTTCATCTGACTTTGGTGCCTTCTCAGACATTTTTTTCTTCATTCCTCACACTGATGGGCAGGGATTTGTGGATATTTTCATACAGACACTCAAGCTTGGCTGAGGGTCCCAGCTGTGACTTGCAGTGTCTCTTTTGGTGCCAGCTGTAGTTGTCTGTGTAGCAGACACTGAGCAGCACCAGTCACTCCTCACAGACACCATCCCTGAAGCCCTCCCACCCCACTGCCAACACCTTGGCAGTTAAACCCAATACAACTTCTCTGTTTTGTCCTATCCCCGTCTTCATATTTTATGGTGAAACATCCAAGTGAGTGTTGAATCATGAAAGATGTACTCTCAACATTTCTCAACTTAATGCAAAGCAAGTTTGTCTCTTCTCATATCACAAGCAATATACAATTTTGACTTAGTATGAAAAATAGCTATGTTTGAACAGCATATGAGTTTTCTCTTATTCAATTCGCAGTTTAGATTAGTCATGAGTGATTTTTAAAATTTGAATAGGCAAGCAATCGGTGTTTCATCTTCCTCTTCAGTTTATGTCTCAAATGTGCTTCTCTGCAACATGTTAGAACCAGTAGGGGGAAAATACTGGGAGAATTTCCCAGTACTCTCCCAGTTGGAGCTGGGAGAATTACATTGAGGGAGGAGAGGAATGGGAGAGACATATTAACTGACATCCACTGCTCATGGTCTTTCTCTACATCAGAAGAAATATTATACAAATGTTCTCAAGACCAAACATTTATGCCTAAGACTGGAAAACACCAAATTTAAGCACAGCTCAATGCACTTTTCATGCACTGTTTTAAAAATGAACAGACTTCAACTACAGCAAAGTTTTAGTACTGCATCACATAGAGAATGATAAGAAGGAATAAGAGTTCTCTTCTCTTTTACTTTGGTCTTTGAATAAAAATATCAGTCAGACTGATATTTTTAAAAGAAAAACTTTTAAACTGAACTCCAGAAATTCTACTGTTGTAAGAGAAGCCAGTAAAATCAACAAAGTACAGCCAAGAGGATAGAATTTTACCTTTTCTCATTATTAGAAAGAAGAACAAAACCAAATACATTAAGATAATATTTAAAAATCAGTAGAAATAAAACAATTAAATTACATGCCTTACATATTTTTAAAGTATTTACTAGGATTATGACACTTTGATAATCTAATATTGCAGTGTTTAGAAATTTTTAATCAGGATTAGATTTTTTGTGTGTTTGCAATTTTAAATTATAATCTAAAAGTGCTCTCTTTTGATTTTAAAGGTTTTCCCAGATTTTGTCTTCTTTTTGGTTCATAACTCTTTCTGTATTAATGTTACTTTAATCTTATACTCTTGCCAATTTTATTTTTAGAAAATAAGAGTAGAAAATGCGATAAAGAAATATTTCTGAAAAATCAGGAACAAATATGGAATTGAGCTATTCATTAAAGTTGCTCTGAAGTGCTAATTGTATTTAAAATGTGCAATACATAGACAGTATGACCAGTTCGAAGAATTCATCATTACAGATTTGAGTACTTACCATGCAATGCCAATTGGATATTTAAGTTGTAAAGTCTCATTGTATTTCTGTTGCTTTCAAAAACCATTTTACATTTAATTTCTGTTTCTCAAACAGTTACTTCACCTCTGACATTTCAAGAAAGGACATGAAAGCAAGACTTTACGATAGCATCTATTGTTCTTGAAGGTCAAGATTTTCTTTGAGCAGTGAAAGCGAGGTGGAAAGCGATCATTACAGTCTTTACTGTGCCTAAAAACTCTTTGATTTTGTTCAACATTTGCCATTTTCCAGACACTCAGACCAGAAGAGTACATAAGGATCTGCCATTCTAGACAGTTCCTCTGTATTAGCAACAGGTAATTTTACAGCTGCCATGTATGAGATCATCAATTTAGTCTGTGTAGCTGAGATAGTAAATGCTTGCTACCTATGCCTTTAATTGTTTGCATGCCCAGTTTCACAAAACCTATTCTTTAATCAGACACAGATATATATTTATTCTGGAGGTATTTCTATGAGGCACTATCTTTTCTCATCTTTGATTCACAGTACTGTGCTCTGGTCACTCTCTCATAAGTAGTCTCTCTGTTAGCTTGTCCTCTTTACCTTTCCAGTTTTGCTAAGTCTGAAGGTTTGGTCTGCTCTGATCATTTATGAGATGCAGAATCTAAGATGCTTTTTTTATCTTCCTGCACATTTATAAATCTCTACCTGTTCAACTGCTTTCAGAATTACAATGCTGCAGACTTGCCCTTGATTATACTTAAAATTGCTTAGTCACTAGACTTTACAGCAGCTGGATCTCATTAATTAAGTTTAATATTATAAAATCATACAATACAGATCACAATTCAATTGTGACTAACAAATACTATAAATTTCATGTATTAAAATAATTCAGATAAATACAAATATGGATAAGGTAATGACATAATAATTCATACTAAATTGTAATAGTGGAATTTCCATAGGTGAAACTGAGTTAAAGAAAAAAATATGACACCCTTATAGCTTAAAGTAGCATAGTTTTGCCACTAAAATCTGAGACCTATGAACCTTTTATACAATTTAAAAGAATATATTTCTTAATTACTTTTCTATTTAATTTCTATTTCACAGGTTCATGTTAACAATATGGAAGCAACAATTATACAAAGCAGTGTATAGATTTAATTCTACAAATCCTGTGTCAAAACACATCACTGCCATGAAAACAATAAGCGAGAAATCTGTAAGGCTTAAAGATGCAGAATATTACATTTAAGTTGGAAAAGAAGTGGAAAAATGTGCAATAATTTAATTCAGATTGAATATTTTCATATTCAGATTATTATTCCTGACTGTAAAACACTGTCATGGGCTATAAATGCAAGGAATTAAAGTACCAGTGTTCATTTTTTTACAGCATACAGAGCCATGGATCAATACTTATCTATTTATAGCTATTTGTATAGTTTTCCAATTTGACCTAAAAATATAATTAATCTAAAATTGTATTGTATAGTATATTTAGATATGCTATCCTATACAGATCTTGTTGCTATATATAGTTGGAAATTTATAAGCTGAGAGAGAGAAAATAAAATCTTACTTCAACATGTATGTTTGTGCTGTAAAAACTACAAAATCTCTTACAGACCAGTATAGAGAAAGCAAAGATTATTTTTCCTTTCCTTACTTAGAAATTAGAGCTTGTATTTTTTCTTCTATTTCTAATGCAGATCTCAAAAAGTTTTACTGTATGTATTTTTTCTGAGATTGATTCCAAGTTTCTTTTTCATTAAATTTTTTGAAGTAAATATGAAATAACTAAGACTGAGAATAGCACAAAAATCTTTGAAGTGTGTGTGATGATGAAGACAAGACTGATTTACAGATGATCTTTTTTCTAGACACGGTACTGGATGCAGTAGGGCATTTGAAAATTTTTTTCTTATCAATTTGATTGTGTAAATTACAGAGAGGTCAATTAAAAAAATAGACAAGTGGTCTAACCAGTGTGCAAATTCTGACAGTCAAAAAATTATTTGATTGCTGAAATTGTTAATTGGAGAATAAATCCTGTACATTTATTAAATAAGTTAAATTTTTGTCTGTTTTCATTTGAGAAAGTGGACTCAGTGTGGGAAATAAAGATTGAATTTGTCCTCATTCAAGATGAATAACTAGCAAATTTCAATAAGTGTAAAGCAAAAAAAAATTCACATTGAATCTAAAGTCTAATGAATCAAACATAAGAGTCCACTAAATTAATCTTGTAATTGGACTATGCATCAGTATACAGAAGATCATAGTATTTTAAAATTGATCAGGAGTGGTTCTGAGAGATTAGACCAGGTGAACTAAAACTCTTTCATACTACTGTATCTGAGGTTGACATCCTAAGACAGATATTACAGTTGAAGACCACCTTAGATGCACTGAAATATAAATTATCTTACACAAGATGGAACATGACAAAATACATACATTTAAAACTATAACTTACACCAAACATGCAGAGGTAATATGATTTATGTGTAGAAACTGCTTAAATGTAACACTGGGTATTGGAATTCTGTATTAATTTATACATAACATTCAGACTAACTTTTGGAGGAATTTTAAATAGTTGTTATACATAAGGTTCTCTAAAATAGTCTTCTGACTGCTAAGTGTAAATAATATTTGAGATGTTTGACAGTGTTGTGAATAATGTCTATGTGAACAAGTAAACTTATTGCAATTTGTAGTAAAATTTCGCTAACTACAAGGGCAATAAAAATCTAGTGCAGTTATGCATATAAATTAGATGTTTTGCATCTCCAATTTATTAAATTGCAATATTTTAATTACTTGTACAATAAATTGCATAATTATGTAATGAGAACCAGGAGTAATTATGTTAATTGTTGCTTGCCATTGTATATCAAAGAGGAGAAAGTATTTTCTTGACAAAGCCATTTTGCAGAAGTGTTATTTTGCATGGAGGTGCTAGAAAATATCCATAATTAAAGTAGTGTCAAAATTTATATTTATAATTCTTTATTTAGCTATGACTGAATTCAACAATTCTTTCTATTATTTTGGATGGCTTTTGGAGTGGTTTCCAAATAAAATTAGGACTTATTAAAATCCTTAAAAATTAATTAGACTGTTCCCTCCTCTCCTCTCCTTTGTGTTCTTTTACAAAATGCAGAGCCATCAAATCGCCAACAAAAAAATTAGTAAATGGGGTAGCCATTTTACTATCTAGTGTCAGAAATGAAAGCACATTAAGGAAACCTAGGCAGCTCTAGTTAGAAGTTGCTTATAATTCTGCAATACCTTAGCATCCAATCAGAAATATTCTTCTGTTAATAATTAAGTCAGGTGCTTGTGTTTTTTGGTTTAGTTTCACATATTCCATGTTTCCTGGATTATGGGAAATAGCTGCAAAATTCTAAGTGCCATCTATCCAATACTGACTATTAAAACTTGTGTTGTGGATTATCATTGTCTTTGCTTTCAGGAAAATGTCAGATTACCTTATAAAGTTTTTTTAAGCCAGAGTCCCTTCTGTGCCTTACACAGCCTCTTTGGTTGGAGAGGCAATAGAATTAGGACAATCTTTTAAGGTATGTCCTTTTTTTCAAGCACTTCCAGGTGAAACCTTATGAACATGTCACAGGTGAATAAACATCTAATCATGGAACTGAATAGAGCCCAGATATAGAACACAGTAAGTGTATTTCACTTGTGATAGTTACGGGAAGCTTATGCACTCAAACCTACCTGGCCCTTCACGTACCAGGTTCAGGAGATGAGTCGTGCACAGAAATCTTTTTCCTGATTAGAAGTATAATGAGGAAAGTCCAGTAGGAGAAGACTTGACTGATTTTCTTCTGACAACACCCCCCCCTCCCCCGCCACCTCCAAATCCTGTGCTGCTGAAGTTCTCACAATCGCCTAGCTACTGGAGAAATTAGCCTATATGATTCATAATTGTTGATGTAAATCACCAGTGCAAATATAGCACTAGCTGCAAACTTCGTCTCTAGGAGTTGTTGGTCCTTCATCTGAGGCACAGAAAACACTTTACACTAGTAAAGACATTAGTGAAACACTGTTTTACTAACGATTTTTGGAAGTTTTACATTAGAGATGCTGATTTAAGCCAACATCTTTCGACAGGCAAGATTACCATCATGATGCCTATTGTAACCTTTTAAGAAGAAAGGGCTCAGAGAATAATTTAGTTTGGAAAAGATGGTTGGAATCCAACCACTCTGCAATAGATCTGTTAAAATAGAATATAATTTATAAAGATTGCCAGGTGTCAGCTAAAAAAGCCATATTGAATTTGCCTCTTCTCAAGGTTTTTTTTTTTTGGTTTTTTTTTTTTTTTTTTTTTTTTTTTTTTTTTTTTTTTTTTTCTGTGGTGGATTCCACTGACCTGTGTTATTTGTAGGCTGTCTTTAAGTTTTCTTCAAAATATTGTTAAAGCTATAATTATGATACTTATATTTATTTTTTTTAAAATAAGTTTCCTAATTTTTTATCCCTTGAGAACTGAATTTTAAAATCACACATTACTGGAAGTCTGTGAAGATCTATCTCTCCCTAGCGGTCCATTGCTAACAATGGTAAAAGGCTTAACATCTCATATTCAGAAAGAAGTCTGTTCCTGAGTGCAAAGTGTTTTGTTTCTATGTTTAATATATTAGCTTAAGCAGTAGCTACTTCAAATCCACTGAAAAATGCCAGTGAAAGAAGTAACTATACATAAAAGTACATATGTGAGCTCATAGAAACTAGTATCCCAGTAAGCTTAGTAACATATACTCCAAAGGCTTTGTATTCAAAATCCTCATAAAGCATATATGTAAAGGTAAAGAGGTTTTAAGGACTGCAGAGGGAGTGATAAGGGAATTACTAACAATGAGTTTTCACAGAAGCAAAAATCCTTCATACAGAGCCTGAGAGAAAATCAGATTTCCCTCTTCTACAGCTTCAGCTAGGAAAGTTTTATCAGTATAATGGCATTTCTGGGAGGACATTTTTGTTTTTCTCCAACAGGAATTTGCAGAAGCAAAGGTCAAATGTGCTTGGCTAATACATATTCTTGATATACATTATATCATAATATATTAAAACACATGCCATAGTCTTTAATCTGTTTGATCATCCTTAATAAAAACAAATCACTACAACAGCTAGAAGTAGTCCTTAATGAAATTCAGCTCATTTTAGCAAGATTGTTTGGTGTCTGCCTACTTTTTTTTGTTGTTGTTCTTTAAACAATGGGTATGAAATATTAGTCTAATTTTAATTGGGAAGGAAAATGCTGCAGGTTACAAGATAGAAGGTCTTAAAAACTATTAAAAGCTGTAAAAGTATAAATTATTTTAACAATAATTGCAAACTTTATTTTTCAATATGAAAAATAAAGTGTTCCTAAGCAGTCTGATAGGAGATAGAGCAAATGATCATTTTAGGTCTGAGTTTGTACAGCTATCATAAAATTCACAGAGAAAATCAGCCATAAAATGGAGGAAAAACCCAAAATGAAACACTGTTTTTCTGATAAACTGTTCTTTGTTGAACATTTGTTGTAGCAATCATTTAGTTTGAACAGATAATCTGGTGTGCTCTTTTTATCCAGTAGGATTTAAGGAATTTCTGCAGGGCAGAGAGGTCAAATGTGACAACTCCTCATAATAAAATCAAAACCAAGCTTGAAGACTTCATAATTTTAAATTATTTTCTAAGTAAGTAATATAATACAGCCTCCTATCACTCTAACATACAATTCTTAGTCTCTTAGCCCTGCTTTTTGTTTAGGTCCATGTGTTTGTAAAGTTTGTTAATTTATGTGGGAATTTCCTATAAAGATGTTGTTTATAATATTCAAGCTTATGTTATTGTTATGCATTTTCTGACTATATCACCTCAAAAGTAAAGCAATATGTGAACTCTGTGACAGACATATGAATGTAATCTGAAGTTAAGCATTTTCACTGGTTTTGAAATTACTCTGGTAGCTATCAGTTGTTATTTTAAACATTTCTCCATGCTGCATAATTTTATAGAGGCATAACTCTCTTTTTGTCTTCTCCTATTCTACAAGGACCAGAGCAGTGATTGTTCATCTGTACTCGACACTGGTGAGGCCACATCATAAACACTGTGTTCAATTCTCAGTCCTCACAACAGGAAAGACATTGAGGTGCCAGAGCATGTCCAAAGGAAAACAGAGATGGAGAAGAATCTAGAGAGTATGTTCTGTGAGGAGCAACTGAGGGAGCTGGTGCTATTTAGGCTGAAGAAAAGGAGGTTTAGGGGAGAGATAATTGCTCTCTACAACTTGAAAAATGTTATAGCATGGTGGGGGTTGGCCTATTCTCCCAGGCAATTAGTGACAGGGTGAGAGGAAATGGCCTCAAGCTGCACCAGGGAAGATTCAGGTTGAACATCAGGAAAAATTTCTTCACTGAAGGGTTTTCAGATATTGGCATGGGCTGCCCAGGGAAGCGATGGAATCCCCTCACCTGAAAGTGATCAAAACAACCCCATGCCAATGAATTGAGGCAGTGTCTGAAAAGTTGCTTTGCAGATTAGGAGGTGGGAGTGCTTGTCAACAACCAGCTGAACATGAGCCAGCAGTGGCCTAGAAGGTCAGCAGCATCCTGGCTTATGGCCAACAGGATGAGGGGCATTGATTGTACTTGGCACTTGTGAGGCTGCACCTTGAAGATTTTCATTCCTCACTACAAGAAAATTGAGGTGTTGAAGCATGTCCAAAGGGCAATGGACCTGGTGAAGAGTCTGGAGCACAAATGTAATGGGCATCATCTGAGGGAGGTGAGGTTGATTAGGCTGGAGAAAAGGAGGATCAGGGGAGACTTTATTGCTCTCTACAACCTGAAAGAAGGTTGGATGGGATGGATGGGATTCTGTCCCTTTGTCTAGGTAACAAATGACAGGCAAGAGGAATTGACATTGGATTGCATCAGGAGAGGTCTAGATTTGATATTTGGAAAAATTTTTTCACTGAAAGGGTCCATAGGCATTGGAGGAATGTGCTCAAGAAAGCAGCTGAGTTACCATTCATGCACATATTTGAAAGATGTGTATATGGGACATGGATTGATGGGACATGCAGTCAGGGACATGGTTTACTAATGAACACATGTCCTAGTTGAAGAGAGGTGGAGGATCTTAGCACCATGTGGGCATGCCCAAGCTGTTATTTTACACCACACCCATCATCGTGGGGCATGTGGATTCTGGAGGAAAAGCTGAGCACCCCATGGAGTGCACCATTTTTCCTCTCAACACCTTCCTGCCAGAGAGACTGGCAGGAAGATGTTGGCATCAGATCTGTGGACTCCATCCTCTGTGCTGCCATTCACTTTACCCCCGGATTACTCTGGGATGCTTCTGTAGGATGAGGTGCTGAGGAGAGGCAGCAGTGTGGCTCTGGGACATGGTGCTGAACAGAAAGCAGCAAAATGTGTCTGAAGCCAGTAAGGCTGGGGTGACAGGAGGTTGACACTCAGTGGACTGCTTTTTCCCCCAGCACAGCAGAGAGATCAAAGGCGTCGGTGCCAAGACGAGCCAAAAGGGAGGCTGGTGAACCAGTCCAAAAGGAGGAAGCAACCCATGAGAGCCAACCTCCAGCATGGCAGAGCAGTGGCAATGACACAGGCACCTGCATGGAACTGAGCTCAGCCAAGGGACAACATCACCGTACACAGACAACCTGCTTGTCAGGGTTTTTTTTTGTCATTGGTTTTGTCATTGTCTGTAAAAACAAGGCAAAAATCCCTTTTCTTACTTTCTTGCACCCTTATGTATCTTTAACAAAATAATGGGAAAACAAATGGAATGGATAAGACGTATCAGGATGTACAGCACTCCTTTGGCACTTTAAAGTGTCCACACCTGGAAGAATGATACCCAAGTATCCTCAGTTTCCTGTCAGACCTAGAAAGCTGTAGCCAAATTAAAATACTCACCTTAAAAATACAAATTTTGTTGCTGCCTTGAAATCTTTCATACATAATTTGGGACATTTTCTTTTCAAAGTCATGCAGAAATTTGCCCAATCATACTATTCAAACAAACACATATCACAGACTTTTTTTTTATTTTATGTGCCATAGAAGACAAGAGCCACATCTTCACCTATTTTTAAAACCTATTTTTTTAAACTTATCAATTACA